ATTTTTTTCCAGACCCTTTGGAATTCCTGTTTGACTGCCTAAAACTTCCACTGAACGGGAAACGTGTGCTTTTTCCCCCTCTGAGAAAATTCTGCTCACAATTAACGGTCAAACAAACAAGGAACTCAAGTTTGTTAATGTTTAATACAGTACACCATAGCTTTCCCTTCTAAGTGTTATCTTGAAGTTGTTTTCATTTCATTAGCTTCATATTTTCAGGAGAGTAGACCATATTCAAACCAGTGGAAGACAAAAGTGAAGTTCACGATGTGCTGTCTCTCGCCATATTGAAAATTGTGTTCATTGAGGAACTGCTGACCACTAGTAATGCAGCCTATAAATCTGTCAGGCGTTCCATTGGGAAACGAGAGACTGGGGCAAGTTTTAATCATGGATCAACAATTTTAGGTCAGAAAGAAACACAGACTTGTTTTACATTTTATTAATCTATTGACTAATTCATCAACTTTAAGGCCTCTTCAATGTGGAACTCACTGCACAATCTATCTGCTCACTTTTCTGTGTGATCGTTAGCACCTGCCTGATCGATCTTTATCCTGCTTCAGCGGTCAGTTCATGCTTGATGATTTACAAACTGGAAACGTTATCGGATCAACAATTTCAAGCGAAGCTTTTGTCTTCTTCTCCCTCTGGAAATTCAGAGCTGAACCCTCCCCCGCTATGTGTTTGGAATTCCAAACTGTGTTACCCCCCATGCCTTCAACATTCCAGTCCAAGAAACTGCCCCTCTCCCTCGGAATTCCAAGATGCTGCCTGTGGTATGGTATGGATATTTTCTGGAATCACCCAATAAATAAATTTATGCCACTTCCCCAATGGGGCTTTTCAGGGTCAATGGAAACAAGCAGTGAAACAAATAGTGTAAATGAGCATCACTCTTACTGACACATACAAGGCCATTTTATTATTTATTCATTCCCCCTTTTGACCAAACCAGTTAAGAATTTACCCACTTACAAAACCAGACCTATTCACTAGTGCTGACATCAAGCTCCCACACACAAAAAAAGAAACATTTATCTTTATCCCCATGAGAAAAGGCCATTTTTCTTCCAAACCCCTTCCAAAATACTCTTAAGGTTAAAATTTATGACGATGATGGACCAAACCCCTCAGAAATTACTTTCAGGGCCCCTTAAGAAAATCTTGTGAACAGATCGGTGAGGAATGGGTACAGGAGGGGAAGACAGGAGGGGGGGGGGGCATGGATATCATATGAAATGGCTAACAACCTGCATCTGAATATAAGCTCAATATTCTTATGAACAACAAATCCAATAGAGCTCACCTGCTACTACGATGAGAATGGATACTGCTTGCCACGCTCTTGCTGCTGTGACTTGATGACTTAGCTGACGGCGGAGCCACAGATGGTACACCAGACCGTGGGGTCATCAAAAGTTTACGAAAATCTTCATTTGTCAATGCTGGTACTCTACGTATACAAGAGCAAGATAATCCAGACTTCGATCAAATTTAATTTCCCTCTCTTATTAAATTTCTCACTCCCTAAATCTCTCGCATTCCAACAAAACTCGAGCTTAACTTCGTTTTCTTTTGGTAGCCATTTGAGCTTCAGGTCGTCTAGTTGTCTATTGCAAGCGACGTCCATCTGCCGCGCTAAAACGTCTATTCTGCTCAACACACTTTTAACTGAACTAAAAATTCAGCTGTACACTTCTGCTAAGGATCGGAGGAATTAAACACAAGCCCAAGCTTAAACTAAATGAGAAATAAATGACAAAAACAGCTCAAAGCTTGGGCAAGCCAAACACGTATACCTACCCGCCGCCATGATGGCCTCCGTACGATCCTGACGAAGACGGCGGGGCTAATGGATTTGAGAACACTTCAACACCTGAAAATAAAAGAACATAGCTAAAAGCAGGTTCTCCTTATACTTAGAGACTATAGAAGTGACTAGAAAAGGGATTGATAGCAAAATAACAGCGCTTCAATTTACCTTCCGACGGCATCGCTTCGACTTTGTTGGTGTTACAAGAACGAGTGGAGACTAGGCAAGAACAGGTTTCAGGCTTGGTTACCCAGGCAAGTCAGTAATCCAATATGGCGGGCGAAGTTCAAATCTTTCAGTTAAAGATTGTGGCTCTTGGTTATACAAATTAATGTTTGGATTTGTTCCATATCACAGATCAAACGACTTTTGAGGTAACTTTTTTTCATGGGCAAACGAAAGTATTCAGCTAGAACGTGTATAATGTATAGTCAAATCTCTGGCTGAAGCTTTTAGAAGATTCGATGAACTGACCAAACTAGTGGAAGTTCATCCTTCACCTTTTCTGTTTAGATTATTTGGTTTTATTACAATATTTAATGATTTATTTTTCCTTTATAGATCGCTGCCTGTAGCGAAATGCAGAATTACATGCATCAGCTGCCACACATCAGGCCCACGAGACACATCACGGAGGAAAAACTGTGTCAAATCCTGGAGACTTTTCACAATGCAGATGATGGGAGGAAAGGATTCTTAACAAATGAGGATCTTAAAGTAGCATTTGTGGCCCTGTTTGGTTACAAGCCATCAAAGAATGAAGTAGGGCAACTAATGGCCAAGTGCAGTGGGTTGCCTAGCGACCAATCGCTGACCAAGAGGTCTGAAGACTTTAGGATTGAACAAACTCCCGATACCCCCAATGTTGGTATGTCTTTAGAGCGCTTCGCAGAGATAGCAAAAGCTAAAATTCTGGTCGAAGATTACGACGACGAAATTCGGCAGATGTTTATTGCATTTGATGTAATGTGTCGCGGTTTTATCACGTTGGACATTGCTAAAAGGGTGTTCCAGCAAGTTGCTCCATTTTTGGACGCCGTCACCGTAGAGAAGTTGTTTCGAGAAGCGGACATGGATCGAGATGGGAGAGTGAGTTACAGAGACTTTGAATTCATAATGAAGTATACCTTGGATGACGAACTGTAGCGCGAAATGCTATTCGAAATATTAACAAACGTGATCAATGCTTCAAGATTTTGATCGAAGTTCGAAGTTAACTTATGGGTACTTTTAAACGTTGCTCAAAAAAAGATAATTTGAAATGTGTCAAAATGTAGCGCACAAGTGGGAAATAAGTTAAAAGTATTTTAGTACCTTACCGTTGCTACTCCTCTCATCAGTTTGTGTGAACTCTGATTTCTCGATTCTGCAACACTTTCTTTGACAACATTTTGAAATGCATGCTGAATTAGCTTTAAATCAAAGGAAATCTAGATGTCATAATGTTATAAAGTAGAAATCACCTAAAAAGTTTTTAAGATACCTCAAAGTAACGGTTTAGGGGAAACGGACTAGCTTGGTTGATGTCCGGAAACGTAGGTGGAGGCGGCATGAGGCAGATTAAAATAGACACGGTTGAATACTGAATGGGTCAGTTATTTTCAAATAGTAATAAAGATTGATTGCAGATTCCCTGTACCGCCTTACTACGCTCCGCGAGGCTATTTCTTTTTTCGCGCGAGCGAGTCGTGTGCGCGCTTGATCACTTAACACTAAGACAAATCTCATTGGCTGATTCTTGCGCGCGCCTTTTTCTTCCTTTGTCATGTCATAAAGGAAAGACTTCACTTGCAAAACGAATTTGTTCGCTTCAGACGTGTTTTTGCAAAGAGAGAAAGTTTCTTGCTAAACTACTCAAAATGGGTGTTATTTGGAGTTCTTACAAACAAAAGAGAAAGGAGAAAAAGGAACTTAAAAGGTTTGTTAGCTCCTTGGTTGTTCTTATTTTATGAAAAAACGAAAAAACTTGAACATACTTCATACGCAGTGGAAAAGAAAAACTGAACTGAGAAAATGTATATATCGTAACTTAGTATAGCCTATGAACCACTTTTTAATTTGACAGAGTTACAAAATGTAATCAATACTCTTTTACACTTTGCGCAAATTTTTGCTTGTGCTTTTCACTAGCGCATAATGAAGTATACTTTGAAAGACGAACTGTAGCGTGAAATGCTATTCTAAATATTACCAAGCGTGATCAGTGATTCACACTTGAAGTTTCTAAAAGTTAGGACCGGGTAACCCTGTCTGCCTTGTAAACACGACGAAGAAAAAAAGAGGAAATGTGTGATTGATAGCGTAATCCACTTGCTAGGGTAGCCCTCTCTTCTTATAAACAGGCCCTTGAATTATGGGAGCTTATATAAACGTTGTCCAAAAAAGACAAGTTGAAACGCGTCTAAACGTCGCGCGCACAGGTGGGAAATACGTTGAAAATATTTCAGTACGTTACCCTTCTGCCACTCGTCTCAGTTTGTGTGAACTTTGATTTCTCGATTCCGCTACACTTTTCATGTCAACATTTGAAATTCGCATTGAATTAACTTCAAATGGAAGAAAGTCTGGATGTCGTAAATATTTATTTATAAAAAAGGAAATCACCTACGTACGTAGGTTGAGGAGACATGATGCAGATTGAAGTAAACACGGTTGAATGCTAAATGGTCAGTTATTTTCAAATAGGAATATTAAAAGATCGATTGCAGATTGCCTGAACCGCCTTGCTACGCTGTGCGTTTTTTTTTTTTCGCGCGAGCGAGTCATGCGCGTGCTTGATCAGTTAACACTAGGGCAAAGCTCATTGGCTGATTCTTGCGCGCTCTTTTTTCTTCCTTTGTCATGTCATAAAGTAAAGACTTCACTCGCAAAACGAATTTGTTCGCTTCAGACGTGTTTTGCAAAGAGAGAGAGATGGTTTCTTGCTAAATTACTCAAAATGGGTGTTATTTGGAGTTCTTACAAAGAAAAGAGAAAGGAGAAAAAGGAATTTAAAAGGTTTGTTAACACCTTCGTTGTTTTTATTTCGTGGGAAAACGAAAAAAAAAAAAATCGAACATGCTTCATACGACGTAGAAAAGGAAAACTGAACTGAGAAAAGGTATAAATCGAACTTAGTCCTATGAACCACTGTTTAATTTGACGGAGTAACAGGATTTAATCAATACTCTTTTACGCTTTGCAAAAAGTTTTGTTTAAAAGGTTGCGTTTCTGCAAAGGCTGGTTTTCACTCGCGCTTAAGCTTAAACCGTGACAGCAGAAGCACACGCAGTAAGATGCTGATTAGCGTCTTTCGTTCGGAAACTTTCCTAACAAAAGGCGCTATTGAACAGCATCTCATTGCATGTGCTTATGATTTTCCGGCGCTAGTGTAAGCCTGAAGAAAGTGGGGAAAATGAGAAAAAAAGTTAAAATTGAGAAAATTTGGAAATAAATATCATTTAAATGAATCGGTCATTTTGGGTTTCTGAATTTTCCCACACGTCGCCATTATGGTTGCAAGTCTCGTAACTTTTGGTAAGATAAATTGATTGAAAAAGGAAAAATCAATTTAATTTAACATGCCGCTGGTCATTTCTTACAGGAAGCGTGGGCTTCGCAGTTCCATGTCCCCGTCCGAGAGGGCGAAAGTAATAAAGATGAAAGCTCAAATGGAGCAACAAATCCAAGCTCTTGAAGAACAGATAAACCTCGAGAAATTTGCACTGACTGCCGGCAACAGGCCTCGGCAACTGGTCAAGACTTTAAGGTACAAAGACTTTTTTATTTTCATTGCATGTCCTTAGTAAACATACGATGGGATGGGTAATGAAGGGTTACATTCGCTAAAATTGCGATCATTTTGATGGGCGTATATAACTAATTACGGACCTTTTCTTTTATGTCTTTCCAGCTCTTCTTTAATCAATAACCTGGGAAATCAAAGAGAGGCATCAGACCTCCAATCCAGCGTCTCTGAATCTGACAGACTGATGATTGAAGCCTGTGAGTTTTCACAGTTCAAGAGAGAGCATCCACTGGAAAAATGGACAGTGGGCTCGCTTCCAGACCTGACTTTATACTGGTAAAGTCAACGAAAAAGTTATACACCAAATTGATTAAAACGTACTTGTAAATATCGAAGAACTGTCTTGAGAGAGCATCATTAAGACTATAATTTTCAAAGTGCTCTTCATCCACTTGATAGATCAGAGGTGGATTTTGTAACCAGAGAATTTGTAAATACGTTCAAATCAGAATGTATTATACGTCAGCATCTTTGTAAATAGATATATAAGTATATACGAAAATGTGATTAAATGTTTTTGCCTTGAATCTGTGGATTGATGAAAAGTATTTAAGCTACTTCTTGCCGGGTTGCTTGAATAACTATTTGCATTCCCAGAACCCCTTGATATTTTTTATAGTGAACTGCTACTAAGCCTCCCCTCCCTGAAAACAGGATTGGATTTGGAGGTTGAAAAGGAATCCGCTAGTGCCCAGGCGTTCCCATCTGATCCTGCGCACTTGATTTTGCGCGGAGGTTATATTACTTTTTTCTAGACCTTACGTGTATTTTGGCGCCCGCTGGCGCGAGAAGATCGAAGAGAACGCCTTAGGACAAGGCTGGGGGAGGTCTTCCTCAGATGACTGATAATCGAAAACAATTGCCCAATTGATTATTTGAAGATGTGACTCATCTCTAGAATACCAATGTTACTAGTGCTACCTTAAGCTACTTTAGGAAAGTCATAGATGGTCTGCCTTGTCCCCAGGCTCTTTTAGTTGTTCCAATCCAAAAAGTTGGAAACACCCGCTATCTTGGATTTGAATGTCCGAAAGACCCTGGCGACCCTGGCGAAAAATAGGGAGAAAAGTAAAGTAAATCTTTATTTCAACAGGGTGGCCCATGCAGATCGAAGAGTGGTATCCGTAGGGGCCCTGTAAATATAAAAGGCGCGCATCCCGGGAGGGCTCCTCGTACCAAGCCCCTCTCTCTCTTTTTCGTTCCACGCTATGGAATGGGGCTCTCTCATGCATTAGATGTGCTCAGGTCTAGGCCTCTGAGGGCAGCTGATTTATTTGTTTGTTTATTTGTTTGTTTTCACGTTTTAAGCTAAAAGTGCTATCCGGTCTGGAATGAGGTACTAAATAGGTCGTTTGGTTGCGAGAGTGGACGCTGTAAAAACACAGGCAAGTGTTGGGGTCCAATCTTTGGGGACGATAGAATATATTGTGTCGCACCCCACTCACAGCCGGTTGTAAATAAGTTAGAGCAGATATGGATAATCTCTGCCTTTTTGTCCAAAAGAAAGACGACTCTTTTTTTTGTACCTAAACAAAGAAACTTAAGTGATTTCGCTTGTTAACCCGCCAGGAACACAACAGCTACTTTCAGACAGTTAATCCCCTAGACCTGCAGGTGGTAGACTTGCTGCACAATAACGAATCCTTAGCATTTCTTTCGGCTTTCCTTGCACTCGAGCCACAGCAGAAGTTTGTCTCTTGAGGTCGAACCGGTACAGGATTTAATTTACTNGGGGGGGGGGGCATGGATATCATATGAAATGGCTAACAACCTGCATCTGAATATAAGCTCAATATTCTTATGAACAACAAATCCAATAGAGCTCACCTGCTACTACGATGAGAATGGATACTGCTTGCCACGCTCTTGCTGCTGTGACTTGATGACTTAGCTGACGGCGGAGCCACAGATGGTACACCAGACCGTGGGGTCATCAAAAGTTTACGAAAATCTTCATTTGTCAATGCTGGTACTCTACGTATACAAGAGCAAGATAATCCAGACTTCGATCAAATTTAATTTCCCTCTCTTATTAAATTTCTCACTCCCTAAATCTCTCGCATTCCAACAAAACTCGAGCTTAACTTCGTTTTCTTTTGGTAGCCATTTGAGCTTCAGGTCGTCTAGTTGTCTATTGCAAGCGACGTCCATCTGCCGCGCTAAAACGTCTATTCTGCTCAACACACTTTTAACTGAACTAAAAATTCAGCTGTACACTTCTGCTAAGGATCGGAGGAATTAAACACAAGCCCAAGCTTAAACTAAATGAGAAATAAATGACAAAAACAGCTCAAAGCTTGGGCAAGCCAAACACGTATACCTACCCGCCGCCATGATGGCCTCCGTACGATCCTGACGAAGACGGCGGGGCTAATGGATTTGAGAACACTTCAACACCTGAAAATAAAAGAACATAGCTAAAAGCAGGTTCTCCTTATACTTAGAGACTATAGAAGTGACTAGAAAAGGGATTGATAGCAAAATAACAGCGCTTCAATTTACCTTCCGACGGCATCGCTTCGACTTTGTTGGTGTTACAAGAACGAGTGGAGACTAGGCAAGAACAGGTTTCAGGCTTGGTTACCCAGGCAAGTCAGTAATCCAATATGGCGGGCGAAGTTCAAATCTTTCAGTTAAAGATTGTGGCTCTTGGTTATACAAATTAATGTTTGGATTTGTTCCATATCACAGATCAAACGACTTTTGAGGTAACTTTTTTTCATGGGCAAACGAAAGTATTCAGCTAGAACGTGTATAATGTATAGTCAAATCTCTGGCTGAAGCTTTTAGAAGATTCGATGAACTGACCAAACTAGTGGAAGTTCATCCTTCACCTTTTCTGTTTAGATTATTTGGTTTTATTACAATATTTAATGATTTATTTTTCCTTTATAGATCGCTGCCTGTAGCGAAATGCAGAATTACATGCATCAGCTGCCACACATCAGGCCCACGAGACACATCACGGAGGAAAAACTGTGTCAAATCCTGGAGACTTTTCACAATGCAGATGATGGGAGGAAAGGATTCTTAACAAATGAGGATCTTAAAGTAGCATTTGTGGCCCTGTTTGGTTACAAGCCATCAAAGAATGAAGTAGGGCAACTAATGGCCAAGTGCAGTGGGTTGCCTAGCGACCAATCGCTGACCAAGAGGTCTGAAGACTTTAGGATTGAACAAACTCCCGATACCCCCAATGTTGGTATGTCTTTAGAGCGCTTCGCAGAGATAGCAAAAGCTAAAATTCTGGTCGAAGATTACGACGACGAAATTCGGCAGATGTTTATTGCATTTGATGTAATGTGTCGCGGTTTTATCACGTTGGACATTGCTAAAAGGGTGTTCCAGCAAGTTGCTCCATTTTTGGACGCCGTCACCGTAGAGAAGTTGTTTCGAGAAGCGGACATGGATCGAGATGGGAGAGTGAGTTACAGAGACTTTGAATTCATAATGAAGTATACCTTGGATGACGAACTGTAGCGCGAAATGCTATTCGAAATATTAACAAACGTGATCAATGCTTCAAGATTTTGATCGAAGTTCGAAGTTAACTTATGGGTACTTTTAAACGTTGCTCAAAAAAAGATAATTTGAAATGTGTCAAAATGTAGCGCACAAGTGGGAAATAAGTTAAAAGTATTTTAGTACCTTACCGTTGCTACTCCTCTCATCAGTTTGTGTGAACTCTGATTTCTCGATTCTGCAACACTTTCTTTGACAACATTTTGAAATGCATGCTGAATTAGCTTTAAATCAAAGGAAATCTAGATGTCATAATGTTATAAAGTAGAAATCACCTAAAAAGTTTTTAAGATACCTCAAAGTAACGGTTTAGGGGAAACGGACTAGCTTGGTTGATGTCCGGAAACGTAGGTGGAGGCGGCATGAGGCAGATTAAAATAGACACGGTTGAATACTGAATGGGTCAGTTATTTTCAAATAGTAATAAAGATTGATTGCAGATTCCCTGTACCGCCTTACTACGCTCCGCGAGGCTATTTCTTTTTTCGCGCGAGCGAGTCGTGTGCGCGCTTGATCACTTAACACTAAGACAAATCTCATTGGCTGATTCTTGCGCGCGCCTTTTTCTTCCTTTGTCATGTCATAAAGGAAAGACTTCACTTGCAAAACGAATTTGTTCGCTTCAGACGTGTTTTTGCAAAGAGAGAAAGTTTCTTGCTAAACTACTCAAAATGGGTGTTATTTGGAGTTCTTACAAACAAAAGAGAAAGGAGAAAAAGGAACTTAAAAGGTTTGTTAGCTCCTTGGTTGTTCTTATTTTATGAAAAAACGAAAAAACTTGAACATACTTCATACGCAGTGGAAAAGAAAAACTGAACTGAGAAAATGTATATATCGTAACTTAGTATAGCCTATGAACCACTTTTTAATTTGACAGAGTTACAAAATGTAATCAATACTCTTTTACACTTTGCGCAAATTTTTGCTTGTGCTTTTCACTAGCGCATAATGAAGTATACTTTGAAAGACGAACTGTAGCGTGAAATGCTATTCTAAATATTACCAAGCGTGATCAGTGATTCACACTTGAAGTTTCTAAAAGTTAGGACCGGGTAACCCTGTCTGCCTTGTAAACACGACGAAGAAAAAAAGAGGAAATGTGTGATTGATAGCGTAATCCACTTGCTAGGGTAGCCCTCTCTTCTTATAAACAGGCCCTTGAATTATGGGAGCTTATATAAACGTTGTCCAAAAAAGACAAGTTGAAACGCGTCTAAACGTCGCGCGCACAGGTGGGAAATACGTTGAAAATATTTCAGTACGTTACCCTTCTGCCACTCGTCTCAGTTTGTGTGAACTTTGATTTCTCGATTCCGCTACACTTTTCATGTCAACATTTGAAATTCGCATTGAATTAACTTCAAATGGAAGAAAGTCTGGATGTCGTAAATATTTATTTATAAAAAAGGAAATCACCTACGTACGTAGGTTGAGGAGACATGATGCAGATTGAAGTAAACACGGTTGAATGCTAAATGGTCAGTTATTTTCAAATAGGAATATTAAAAGATCGATTGCAGATTGCCTGAACCGCCTTGCTACGCTGTGCGTTTTTTTTTTTTCGCGCGAGCGAGTCATGCGCGTGCTTGATCAGTTAACACTAGGGCAAAGCTCATTGGCTGATTCTTGCGCGCTCTTTTTTCTTCCTTTGTCATGTCATAAAGAAAAGACTTCACTCGCAAAACGAATTTGTTCGCTTCAGACGTGTTTTGCAAAGAGAGAGAGATGGTTTCTTGCTAAATTACTCAAAATGGGTGTTATTTGGAGTTCTTACAAAGAAAAGAGAAAGGAGAAAAAGGAATTTAAAAGGTTTGTTAACACCTTCGTTGTTTTTATTTCGTGGGAAAACGAAAAAAAAAAAAATCGAACATGCTTCATACGACGTAGAAAAGGAAAACTGAACTGAGAAAAGGTATAAATCGAACTTAGTCCTATGAACCACTGTTTAATTTGACGGAGTAACAGGATTTAATCAATACTCTTTTACGCTTTGCAAAAAGTTTTGTTTAAAAGGTTGCGTTTCTGCAAAGGCTGGTTTTCACTCGCGCTTAAGCTTAAACCGTGACAGCAGAAGCACACGCAGTAAGATGCTGATTAGCGTCTTTCGTTCGGAAACTTTCCTAACAAAAGGCGCTATTGAACAGCATCTCATTGCATGTGCTTATGATTTTCCGGCGCTAGTGTAAGCCTGAAGAAAGTGGGGAAAATGAGAAAAAAAGTTAAAATTGAGAAAATTTGGAAATAAATATCATTTAAATGAATCGGTCATTTTGGGTTTCTGAATTTTCCCACACGTCGCCATTATGGTTGCAAGTCTCGTAACTTTTGGTAAGATAAATTGATTGAAAAAGGAAAAATCAATTTAATTTAACATGCCGCTGGTCATTTCTTACAGGAAGCGTGGGCTTCGCAGTTCCATGTCCCCGTCCGAGAGGGCGAAAGTAATAAAGATGAAAGCTCAAATGGAGCAACAAATCCAAGCTCTTGAAGAACAGATAAACCTCGAGAAATTTGCACTGACTGCCGGCAACAGGCCTCGGCAACTGGTCAAGACTTTAAGGTACAAAGACTTTTTTATTTTCATTGCATGTCCTTAGTAAACATACGATGGGATGGGTAATGAAGGGTTACATTCGCTAAAATTGCGATCATTTTGATGGGCGTATATAACTAATTACGGACCTTTTCTTTTATGTCTTTCCAGCTCTTCTTTAATCAATAACCTGGGAAATCAAAGAGAGGCATCAGACCTCCAATCCAGCGTCTCTGAATCTGACAGACTGATGATTGAAGCCTGTGAGTTTTCACAGTTCAAGAGAGAGCATCCACTGGAAAAATGGACAGTGGGCTCGCTTCCAGACCTGACTTTATACTGGTAAAGTCAACGAAAAAGTTATACACCAAATTGATTAAAACGTACTTGTAAATATCGAAGAACTGTCTTGAGAGAGCATCATTAAGACTATAATTTTCAAAGTGCTCTTCATCCACTTGATAGATCAGAGGTGGATTTTGTAACCAGAGAATTTGTAAATACGTTCAAATCAGAATGTATTATACGTCAGCATCTTTGTAAATAGATATATAAGTATATACGAAAATGTGATTAAATGTTTTTGCCTTGAATCTGTGGATTGATGAAAAGTATTTAAGCTACTTCTTGCCGGGTTGCTTGAATAACTATTTGCATTCCCAGAACCCCTTGATATTTTTTATAGTGAACTGCTACTAAGCCTCCCCTCCCTGAAAACAGGATTGGATTTGGAGGTTGAAAAGGAATCCGCTAGTGCCCAGGCGTTCCCATCTGATCCTGCGCACTTGATTTTGCGCGGAGGTTATATTACTTTTTTCTAGACCTTACGTGTATTTTGGCGCCCGCTGGCGCGAGAAGATCGAAGAGAACGCCTTAGGACAAGGCTGGGGGAGGTCTTCCTCAGATGACTGATAATCGAAAACAATTGCCCAATTGATTATTTGAAGATGTGACTCATCTCTAGAATACCAATGTTACTAGTGCTACCTTAAGCTACTTTAGGAAAGTCATAGATGGTCTGCCTTGTCCCCAGGCTCTTTTAGTTGTTCCAATCCAAAAAGTTGGAAACACCCGCTATCTTGGATTTGAATGTCCGAAAGACCCTGGCGACCCTGGCGAAAAATAGGGAGAAAAGTAAAGTAAATCTTTATTTCAACAGGGTGGCCCATGCAGATCGAAGAGTGGTATCCGTAGGGGCCCTGTAAATATAAAAGGCGCGCATCCCGGGAGGGCTCCTCGTACCAAGCCCCTCTCTCTCTTTTTCGTTCCACGCTATGGAATGGGGCTCTCTCATGCATTAGATGTGCTCAGGTCTAGGCCTCTGAGGGCAGCTGATTTATTTGTTTGTTTATTTGTTTGTTTTCACGTTTTAAGCTAAAAGTGCTATCCGGTCTGGAATGAGGTACTAAATAGGTCGTTTGGTTGCGAGAGTGGACGCTGTAAAAACACAGGCAAGTGTTGGGGTCCAATCTTTGGGGACGATAGAATATATTGTGTCGCACC